GGGGGGAGCCCCTGCTAACGCCATCGCTGTTGTCTTATAAATGATCTTGTATTTAGAACCTCAAAAATGCTACTACAGGATTATTTCTTATCATTAAGAAACGCTTCTATCAGTAGGGACATTTGCAACCCAGCACTACTGCTAACTGTAGAAACTAAGCAGGAACATGTAACACAAGAAATGTCTCTGCTTCAGGAGACAAATTACTCAACTACTACTGCAATTAAGCTAATACAATCTTATTTGCAGGGCTTTTCTGCAGAACATTAGAAGTTACCCGAACTGGAGAATATCCCACTACACAAATAAGCTGAAGTGACTTCAAGATCGGGGATGTCTGGTACATCTGGCCCTGTCTTACAAGGAGATTCCTGTTTGTTTTTTTCTCCTTTATTCTATTTACCCATAGTTTCTCTCTATTCCTTGACATCTTTTCCTCATTCTTCTGTATTTCGAGCAAAGGCAGATACTATCCTTGTCTAAAAGCAATGAAGGAGCCTGCACCCTGGATTTTGCCACATCCTTTTGCTACCCAACTCTTGCACAGCAGGCTTTCCCTCCATTTTCCCCACGGCATAGGATTCTGCTCTCTTTTCCCTAAACGCCAGTTCTGTGACTTCTTTTGTCACCTTTCCTGAAGGGTACAGTAGTAGGAATTCTGATCTAAACTGCTCACAATTATGAACAAAGCAAAATAAAAACTTCATAACACACACAAAGTACTGTCACACTTTTTTATTTTGGGGTAACTAAGACCAGTTCCCTGTTCTGTAACATGAAAGAGTAATAGTAAAAATACTGACAGTCCTTATCAAGGTAACCCAGCAGCCCTGTAGATTTTAGTCCAAACAAAACTGTAAGACTGTGTCTTAATTGGGAAAAGCTGCCTCTGATTCATTAGAAGAGGAGGAAGTTGCACAGTTAGGTGAATTAGTGGTGCAGAAGGTTTTCTCTGCTTCTGAGCCATCACAAGTAGCTACTCTTAAGCACTGCAGTCCTGTCTAGACAGGCAGTCACTTCACTTCTTGCTGTGACTGCAATAAATACATTCCAGAACTGACTGAGTTCAGTACCTGAGCGCATGGATTGAAGTCAGGACATTCACACATCCCACTGCTTTGATCAAAGGGACAGGCAGATCTTACATCCTTGTGCTCCTTCCACTTAGAACTGTATCAAAGGCAAGAAAGGAAAATAAAATAAAACATCACCCATATTAACTTAGCTGGAGATGAATCACAGCTCTGCTGAATCAGATGATTTATCAGCCCTATGTGCAGCTTTTCTACATGCACAGTCCCAGGTAGCCACACGGCTCTCAACTTCATGCATTCATCCAAAACCACAACAGAATGTGAAAAGCCTCCTGCACAAGAGCCACAGGAGACAGCAGGCACCCTGTCCTTGGATTCTTCCCATTAAACCCCTCCCCCCCCCCCCCCACCAACCAATACCT